CAGGACTTTAGCACCTGCTATGAAGACTACCCCATGCCGTTCAAGTTTCAAGGGAATGGCCCACTTCTGAGATGTTCTTCCTGGATCACCCTGACAAAAACCTCCAACCCACTCATTGCCTATCACCTGCTTCATTTTCCACTTGATATCTGTCACTTCGTGGAATCATCTTGTGGATTTCATTGTGGCTGCTTCACCACCTATCCACCCTGCCCCAGACCTCCAAGGGCCTGGCACACAACAGGCACTTAAACAACTGATAAGATTCATTACAGGTGGGCAGAGATTTGGGGGCCTACAGCATCGGGGGTTCCCCAAACTGGACTTCGAGGATGTTGGCAGAGCAGAAGTAGTGACCCACTGAGCTGAAGTCAGACCCAAATTCTGCTACTGCTATCTGCGTGTATCTGGGCAACTTGGCTAACATCTCTGAGCTTTATCTGGATCTGCAAGATGGGAGTAGGAGCACCAGCTTTCTGGACCAAGGAGGCAGTTCAGACTAGTCAGGCTCTGTCCCCAGTATTGGGAACTGCCTACCACAATTCAGTAAACACTTGTTAATGAATGAAGAGCCACAACATAGATATTAGAGGGCTCATGGTGCCATAGAGGTCAGACACACAATTATTTCCTGAAATGCCAAGAAAAAAATCTTTCAATGCTGCCAATGAAGCCATGACTGCACACTCTTGTCCCAGATCCCATTACCTCCTTGCTATCACTAGGAATTTGTGTTTTGACCTTACCCAAGGACCTCTTTTGAGCTTATCAGGACATAGATTTTTATCATAGATCACTACTTTATATAAAATTGTTTTTAAAAGGGGCTGGCAGGGGTGTGAGTCAGTGATAAACAGCTTGCCAAGTATGTACAAAGCCCTGATTTCTATCTCTGGCACCATGAAAATTAGTTAACGAGTTAATTAATTTAAAATGGCTTGTCTTGCAAGTTTGAGGTCCTGGGTTCAATTCACGATATCATAAAAATAAATAAAATTAAAAAGAACTATCAGAGAAATCTGTTGATTGAGGTATTTCTAAACTTTCTTCCAGATCAGAATCACCTCTGAATTGACCGTGCTGGGACCCACACTCTTGCTCCCCACTACCCAGGCTTCTGTCTCACAGGTGAGCAGATCTTGTCCTCCTTGCTGAATTCTCATGCCCCCAGAAGGTGATTCTCCCCACCCCTCTCTTTTGACTTCCAGATTTTCCCCATGCCAGAGAGAGGCCGGGGCTACCATTGTCTCTTCCCACTTGCCAACACATGAGGAGTCATGTGGAGCAGGCACATGTGGGACCCCTCACCCCATCCCATCTGTTCTGGGAACCCAGATTTTAGAAATGGGCAGATGTTGTGTTAAAGTCAGTGCAATAGCAATAGCATGTGAGAACTAAGACAAACTGAACTTCTGAGTTTCTATAAGTAAGCCTCTCCAGAAGGTAAGGAAGAGCCCAGCGTCCATTCTACAGGGAATTGAACCCAGGGCTTGGCACTGAACTACAGCCTCAACCCTTTCTTTTATTTCTGAGACAGGATCTCCCCAAGTTGTTAAATTTTCTACACTGGGCTTGAACCTGGGATCCTTCTGCATCAGCTTCCCAGAGGGTTGTGTTTATAGTCATTGTGCTAACAACACTCAGCTTGGAAGACTTTGCTTCAGCCTTCCCCACCAGCCAGGCTGAGCTAGGTGTGAACAAAGGCGTTAGTTTCCCAGGGAACTTGGGGCCTGGACTGGACTTGGGGGCATAGGTTCCAGCAGGGGGTAACTCTTAATTCCCTGCTATGGTCCTGTTTATTCTGGGGTAGGGGCTCCCTGGCTTGTTCAGGTTAGACCACAGGGCAACGGCAAATGGAGGAAGCACCTGGTTTCTGCTGGGACCCTGGAGTTCTGAGGAGATGGCAGGCAATAGTGCCCGCTTCAAGTTGGGAGATCAGCATTTTGGCCGCTCCTAGTTGTCCTGCTCTGGGCCTCAGTTTCTCAGTAAGGACAGTAAGACAGTGCCCTCAGGCTCCAGGAGACTAGACACTCAGACTACCACAGTTAACAGAACCCTGAATCCTCCTCTCCTTTCTTCCACCTTACAAGTTCCCACCAATGACTCTCGGGAAATCTAGAGCAGGGAAAGGGAGCAAGCCAGAGGAAGTCTTATTTTTTAAAGTCTAAAAGCAGGGCCAGGGATTTAGCTCAGTGGTTCCGGTGCCTGCCTCAAAAGCACAAGGTCCTGAGTTCGATTCCCAGTACCAAAACAAAAAGTGTAATAAAAGTCTAAAAGTCGAGCATCGGGGTAGAGAGGTAGGATATCTTGCCTCTCTCTGCCTTTGCCTGTGATGGTTCTGGCAGAGGTGGTGGGGTCTGCCCAGGGTCCTGAGGACCCCAGATCTGCACATGACAGTGTGCCCTCACTGGGCCAAGCCCAGTGCCACCAAAGCTTAGCTCTCTCAACAATCCCAGGATTCTGGCTGCTCCTTCAACCAACCAGGAGAACAACTTGTTCAGGGCTGGGGGCCCAGAAGTTGGGGTTTGACTCCCTGCTCTTAATCTCAGGCTTGGCAGTGCTGCTGAGCACCGCCTCCAGCCCAATCCCTAGCCCTCCCACGGCCTTACCCTGTTCTTTTGGAGGGGTCCCTGGGGGTGCCACCTCACAGCCCCAGGACCTCAGCTTGCTGGAGACATCTCCTTCCTCAGCCACCAGCCCGCAGGCCTCAGGAAGAGAAGCAGCTGTGTGGACTGCCCGTGCAGTCTCTGCATTTGCTTCCCAAGACTTTGGTGTGGAGGAAAGACTTGTGTGGCAAGGGTCCAGGGGGAACAGAGCAAGGGGACCATCCCTTGCCCAAGCCTGGAATGAGGGATGGGGGTGTGGAGGGCAGGAGGGGGCCTCAGCGACAGTGGCTGGTGACCAGAGGAGCTGCAAAATGTGGGTAGGAGTCCCAGGCAGTGCCTGGGAGCCCTATGGATTGGATGGGGACCTTTTCCTAGAGTCTCTGCTTTCGTCTGCTCTGCATCTTTTCTCCTCGTGGGAACAGCCAGGAGCTTCTGTTGGGTTTCAGGGATTCTCCCCAGCAAGAAAAGCCCAGCAGCCCAGAATGGCAGGATCAGCTCGCTCGTCCCTCAGTCTGCAGCTGTGGTTGACCAGTCCTTGGTCTCACCAAAAAAGCTCAGCTGCTAAGCAGTGACAAAACTCCACCCTGCCCACCCAGTCCACCCTGGAAAACAGACTCCTTCTCTTTTGAGCCCATTTCCCAGTGACCCATGGGTGATCTGGGAACCAGAGTCCCTGAGAGAGGTTTCCCATCTGTGTCTAGAGGGTGCTGTACTTTCAGAAATTTGGGGGTCTTTGTAGTCAACGCTAGAGCCCCACTATCCCTCCCCCATCCCCGGTTCCAGGCTAGTGAGAAGATGCCCTGGGAAACCCCTTAGAGGTGCACAGCAACTAATTTGACAGAAGTTGGAATTCCTCACATGTGAAATACGAGCATTCTAAAGTGACTGTGGCTGGTGGGTCCAGGAGTCCCTCTGTGAAACTTCGGTCCTCTCTGTTTTCTACCCTCCTTTCACAATTCTCCAGATGACAAAGACAGGGCTGGAAGCCTCCTGGTAATACCAGGTGGCCTTTCACTTTGCTGTCCTTTGAACTGTGATGCATTAACTGCCCCACCCAAGCCAGCTGGCTGCTGGGGCCTGTAGAAGAAAGTCACCAGCATCACCAGGTTGAGCTGACCTGGGGTTAAAGCGAGGACTGGAAGGAATTGGAGGCACAGTGACAAACGGAAGATTCCTCCTCCCAGCAACCAGGGCAGCAATCTTCCACGGGCCCTTAGGGAGCCTGGGTGAGTAGTCTGGGAGTTGCTTGAAAGCCTGAATTAAGACCCCTGAGCCACCAGATGGTTTCCTGTAGACTTGGCGGGGGTGGGATGCAGAGAAGGCTAGCAGCCCTCAGGAAGTGTGGTCTCTTCATCTCTCCTTCCTCCAGGCCTTGAGGGTGGAGATGCTGGGGAGGGGAAGTCCAATCGCAGTTTCTAGAAAAGGACCCATCACCTACTCACAACTTTAAAAGGAAGCCCTCACCACCATAGGTGGGGGCCATAAAGATCACTGCTACTGAGTTACAGGAAGCCTTGGCCCAGTAAGTATGTGTGAGAAAGTAGGCATGTTCCAGGCTGTTCCTCATTTTGGGGACTAGAAGGACCCGGCTCTGAATCCTGGTCCTGCTTGGAACTTTGCATGACCTAGTTGTGTCCCCTTCCTGAGTTTTCGACAGTAAAGCAGCCATCTCTCCATTTCCGACCCTTGTCACACCATCCCCGCCCAGCCATGCACCGTAGGAAGTGCAAGGACAGAAGCCACCTGCATGCTCTGAGACATCCACATCCGAGAGAGAGGCAAGAAGACAATGCAGACCTCCCTGTCGAGGAGGTGTTCCCAAGTTGCACCTCTCAAAAGGACCGCCTCACCTGGTGGGCTCAGCACTTGACTGCCCTTTTTCTTCGAATATCAGAGTGGCCTCATTAGGAGCCAAGTCTCTGACCCCCGCAGGTGCTGCACCCCTGCATAGACCACAAATAATGTGCAAACTCTGGGGAACGACCTCAGCAAGCACGTGTGGGAAAGGTTTGCCTCACAGGCTTGCCTCTATGAATCTCACACCCTGTGCTTCCCATCTGTCTCCCAAAGGGCTGATCAGGACCATGCCGCGGACCACTCAGTGGATCTTCCCAGTCCCAGGAGACAGAGCCAACAACACAGGCGAGTCTGGGTCCTGGGCCCTTCAACTGTTCTGGCCTGCAGAATCTAGTGCTGGGAAGGAAAGAAGTTGGAGTTCACAGGGATTCCTCACGCCCAGGGTGACAGCGATTCCTGCGCGTGGGCCTGTCCTCCACACTGCCAGAGGAAAGGCTGTTCTAGAAGCGACTGTCAGGACCCTTCTTACTTCCCCCCCGCGCCCCAACCCCCACCGCCGTGGACTCAAGCCGCAGCATCAAGCCCAACTGTGTCATAAAATATTTTATTGGAAAAAAGTCACCACCTTCGCAAGAAGGGGGTAGGAGCCCCAGAGACGTCGGGGACACAGCCTCGGGCCAAGCAGCCCGGTTATCCTGCTGGTGGCCTGCTCCCGGCTGCTGGGTCCCTGGCCTGCGCACTCGAGGAAGCGGATGTATGCCTGGCTGCGTCCACCCAACGGCGAGGGCGAGGGCAGCGGAGGCTGGGCAGGGTGTGGGCGAGGAGCTGGGCGTGAATGCACGTGGGGCGCCGGCGCCGCAGAGCTCAGGGAAAGACTGTGACTTCTGCCTTCTGCCGCGACTCTCCCAGGTTAGGACCAGGTGCGGGCTTGGGGCCTGGATTTGGCTTCTGGGTCTGTGTCCTTCCCTGTTGGGCCCCTAACTGTCCGCATTCAGAGTAATAATAAAATATTTGGAAGGCAAACGGCGTGGACACAGAAGGGCCGGCTCGTGGGGTCCCGCGGCGGGCTGAGGGGGCTGCGGTGCGGGGTCCCAGGCTTCCCACCCTCTGCCCAAGCTCAGTCCTCGTTGCTTGGGTCACTGGGCTCGCCCGGCACCTCCGCCAGCTTCTCTGCCTCCTTGGTGCGCTCCTGCTCGGTGAGTTGCTCGCTCGTGGGGATGGAGTTCTTCTTAGGCCGTCCCTTAGGCTTGGTAGGGGACTCCAGGCCGCCGCCCTGTAGCACCTGCATGGAGGGTAAGCAGTACTGCGGTGAGCCAGGAGGAGATCCCAGGGACGCCCGTGCCCAGAGCCTAAGCTGGACTGGGGGACCCAACCAGGTCCCCGGAAGCACCTCCCAGCCCTTGGGAAATGGCAGACGTTTGTCTGAGCGCTGCGGGACAGCGGAGGACCAGGTCCACGGAGTAGTTCAGGCTCCCCGAAACCGGAGAGTACAAGAAACAAACGCTGGCTCTGCTAGGGCACCCAAAGGGACAGAAAAAACCAAGAGGGGCCTCGTGAGCCCCAGGTGCCAAGGGAACAGCGAGGGGTGGGCTGGCATCTGCGGAGGAGGAGCGCGGAGCACTTCTTGGAGCCCTTGGGGAACGGCCTGGGAAACTTCGGGACGCTGGAAGCCACCAGGCTCACTCACTATTTTCTTCCACTTCATCCTCCGATTCTGATACCAAGTCTTCACCTGCAACTGGCTTAGGCCAAGGGACTCAGCGAGATCTATTCTGGAGAGAGCAGAACGCACCCTGAGAGGGCAATCGGCCACCGATCCGATCCCTCTTCCGCCGCCTCCCGGCCCAGCATAGCCCGTGCTACCTGTCCGGCGTGGAGAGATACTTCTGCTTCTCAAAGCGTTTCTCCAGGCCCATCAGCTGCAGCTCGGTGAACACAGTGCGGCTCCGGCGTCCCTTCTTGGCCTTTGTGCCTGGCTCCCCGGGGCCTGCGGCCTCCAACTTCCCGCGTAGCTGTAGCTCCAGAGGCAGGTGCGCGCCACCCGCGCCTCCAGGCAGCCCAGGCCCCGTGGCCAACAGCGCCGAGCCTAGCCCAGAACAGCCGAGTGGCGCCAGCGGGAACTTAAATACAGCTGCCTGCTCGGCCTTCAGCACCGCTGCGGAGAGAGAGGATAGGGAGGCGGGTGAGCTGGAGTCAGCGACCTTCAGCCTGGGGAGTTCACTGCACCACACGCCAGGGGGGAGCCTGAGCTCAGTCAGTGCCACCCAGCGGAAAAATCTCCGCTCCTGGTTGCGCGGCGTGAGGATTTGAGCCACGCGCCCAAGGCGACTCTCCTCTGTGCTGTTTCCCTGGGAGTCTGGAAGGGGGGATCTCCCCCACCCTGTGCTCTGCCCCTCTCTGGCCCGGCCTTCCCCAGGCCTGTCGCCTCTAAGATTTCGAGCTTCTGCAGGAACAAGTTCGAAGCTCCAAGAATCAGGCAGTGTATTTCTCGGGGGGAGTGGGGGAGGAAACCAAGAAAAAAGGCTGCGTGTTAGAAGGTGGGCAATTGTCCCAACCAAATCCTTGTTGCTGCGTTCAAAAAAGGGCAGGGGAGAGGGCGCACATTCTCTCTTCTGTATCGCACACAGCGTAAAAGCCACTGGTCGGGCTGTAGCCATGGTGTCACACAGGGTGAGGTCAGGGCTTTCTGGAAATTCCAAAGCACCCTGAGAACACGAAAATTGTTGCTTTTCTTTTCTCCGTTCAAGCTCCTTCAAGCTTTTCTTAATGAGGGGGCTTCCATGTTCTTTAGTACTAAAATGATCTTTTGCCCGCTTCAAACGAATTACTAACAACAGAGCGAATGTAAGTGAACAGAAGTCGTGAAGCTGTGTTCGAGAGGAACTCAGAGCAAACCGGCCCTGCCGCCACCGGCAGGCGAGCACAGCTCCAGGGGCTTTCAGGGAAGGTGGCTGGTGGGACTGGGATCGGCCAGCTCAGCCTCAGGAGGCCTCCATCCGTCTGGCTCCTCATTCTGGGGCCAGTCCTAGTCCCACCGTAGTCCCCGCGTGACTAACTAAGGTAAGGCACAGGTGAAGTGGGCAGCAGGAGGCACAAGGGCTCCTCTCAGGGGAAAGGGAGGAGAGGGGAGGCTGAGCCACCCAAGGGGACGAGCACAGCCCACCAGCGGCGGGGAGCAGACAGGGAGGCAAGAAGGGGATGGAGCATAGCAAAGAGGGCACCGCAGGACAGAGCAGATCCCTGCCACGGGAGAAAGACCGGGCCGGAGCCCAGGCAGAGCCCCACGGGTCTGAGCAACTGGTGCAAGCTCCCACTGCGGCCCGGCCCGGCCGACCTGGAAGTGGAAGGGCCAGCAGCAGCGCACGAGCCAGCCTGGTGCAGGCAGGTCTGCTCTGCGGCCCCGCGGAGGCCTCATTTGCTGTCCGCTGGAGCGCGCTAGGGTCTGGGACGCTCTGGGAAGCTCGTGCCAGCGCCAACACTCAGCGTTCAGAGACTTGGGCCTGTCCTCCAGAGGTCTCGGCTTCCTTCGCCTGGGTAATGAAGGCCACTCCTGGTCAGCCTCGTGGAGCAAGTTCAATTCCCCCGATCTGACGATCTGAAGTCGTTTAGATCCCTAGGGATAGGCCAACTGGTCTTGTGCCTGTGGTGGGGATGTAGACTCTGGTCCCAGGCTTGGTCCCCCCACCGGTGCTACAGGCCAAAGAGCAGCCACGAAGTACAGAGCAAACGCCCTTCCTGGCCTGGCCTGGCCTGCGGGCAAGGGGCCTGGTTTCTGGGCAGCCAATTGCCTGTGCCCTTCGCTTCCCGGCTGGAGCGCTCAGAGGTGCTTCAAGGCTCGGCTTGGGGTCCAGCGGAGAAAAAGGGTAGGCTCCCGGCGCCCCGGGGCGCAGCTTGCTCCCTCCCGCCCAGCTGGTCCCGAAGCCCCCCCGGCGGCCGCACGTACCCAGGTGGCTGTGGAAGGGCCGCGCCGCTAGCAGCGCCTGCACGCCGAACTTGAGCAATTCGCCCGCAGCGGCGGCGGCGGCAGGCGCGGCGCCCTTGGGCCCGGGCGGCTCCGTGAGGATCTCCTCGATCATGAAGCTGCGGTAGCGGTGCGGCCGGTGGTCGCCACAACCCTCAGGCGGGCCGAAGCGCACAGCGCTGGGCTCCCCGGGCCGCTGCATCGCGACGCCCGCGGAAGCGCCCGCGGCTCGGCAGCAGCGGCGGCTCGGCTTGGGCGCGGGGCCCGCGCGGGGCTCTAGGCCGGCCCGCAGCTCCCGGCGGCGCGTGGGCGCCTGCTCATGCCCCCTCCCCCGCCAGCCGGCCGGGCGGAGGCGCAGGGCGCGGGCGGGGCGCGCGGGGCTCGGCCAGTCGAACCCGGGACTGCGCCCCCGCCCCGGCCGCTGCGCCTCTAGCCTGGCCAGCCCCGCGTCACCGCCCCGCCCCGCCCCGCCCGCGCCGCCCCGCCCTCCACCACCGCCCCCAACTCCCGGGGCCAAGCCGGAGGGAGGCACCGAGGAGGGAGGGCGCAGGGAAGGAGGAGGAAAAGAGCAGCGTGAGTGGGGCCGCCGACCGAGACCCGGAGAGAACCCGTGGAGCGCAGGCCCCGGAAAGACAGCCCAGAGCTGAGACGGGGGAGCCCGGAGGTGCGGGGCGGAGTCATCAAGAGAGAGGTGAGCGAGGGTCCCCGGGGACGCGCGAGAGAAGAGTTTGCGACGTGACGTGAGAGTGCCCAGGATGCCGCCCAAGCGTGCGCAGAAAGACCAGGGTGGCGCGAGAGCCAGCTGGCCGTGACGTGCGGGAGGGCACAGAGGCAGCGGGCAGAGGAAGGGGCGGTGCCGAGAGTGGACAGCTGGAGAGGCAAGCGGCCTGGGCAGGCATCGGGGGGACAGGAGCGGTGGATGGGGGGCAAAGGGCATGCAGTTCAGCTGGTGGCCTGCGTGGTCTCTGGCCTGGCCGCTGGGCCGAACACTCGGCAGGGGTGCAACTCACAGAGACGGCTGCGACGGTGCATCACCATCTCTGTCCACCTCCGCCGCACTTTACCACACCTGGCGTCATTTCTCCCCGAGCCTCCTTGAGAGGACAAAGTTCTCTGGCTAGAATTTGCTTGTATCGCCAGTACTAGTGATAGGTGGACATTTTCTCCTTGGCAACCTCAGGACGCTGTGGGCTGGGCTATGTTCTTCTAGTTAGAGGAAGAGATGGAATGGAGGAGAAAGAAAAGATTCGGTTTCACCTTTCCCCAACTTCGGAGTGTGAGAGAAACCATTACCTGGTGGAGCTGGAGCTGGAGGCAGAGGACAAGGTGCTGGGGCGTGGCGCGGTGGGGGGGTGTGGGGGTGGCGTTCTGGCTCCATCTGAGGCTTAACGTCTCCTACAGGATTGAGGAAATCTCCAGCCTCTTCTCTAGATCTTCCTCTTCATCATGAGGAGTGTACAATCCCAAGCAGTGGGTGAACAATCCCCAAACTCCCCACTAAGTTTCTCTCTCGGGCGCTGCCACTGCTGGGCAAGCCTGTGGCCCTTCCTGAGCCTCAGGCTCCTGACCTGGAGGAGATAGGACGCTTGGCTCCAGTGAGGTGGTGAGGACTGAGGAAGGAGTCCCGAACCCAGGGGCCCCATAGAATCTGTTTTGAGATCTCAGTTCAGGAGGACTTGGCAGGGAGAGTAGGGTGTCCCTAGGAGGCTCAGGGAGGAGCTGCCACCTTTCCTCTCCCTGCCCCCAGTCATTGGTCCTATTTCCAGTAACTGCCCCCCAGCTGGGGTCCTCAGCCACTCCTCTTTCCTTTGTGGTGAGCTGTGTGGGACCTCCGTCCCTACCTCTGGGAGATGGGGTTTGTCAAACCCTGCCGTGCCCCTGCCCTGAGTTGGTGCAGTTTCTCCAGTTCCAGATACTGGCAGGAAGCCCTTGAGGCTGCCCCTAGGTCACTGGCACCCAGCCCAGACTCTGCGGAGACCAGGAGATGGCCAAGACCCTTTGTTCCCAGGGGGAGGGCTAAGAACAAAGATACCTTACCAGAAGCTCTGGTGCCATTCAGCCCCTAAGAGCCCACTGCCAGTCTTTCCTAGTTGTGACTGGCTGTCTAAGTCTCCAGGTCATCACCAGGATGGGTGGAAGGTAGCCTCAGTTGCTTCACATTCCACAAGGTGGTTTGCTAAGGGTCTTTGGAAAGGGCAATGTGGGACTCACTAAAAGTGATGATGGCCAGCACTGCGGGCCTCTTAGAGATGGACAGACAGGGGGCCCTGCCCATGTCTTTTGACCTAGTAGTCACCCCATCTCCTGGCAGGCAAGCACAGGAAAGCTAGTGTCTTCTTTCCCCCAAACCCAGCCCCGACTGAGCCCTTCTCCACCCTGTGGGTAGGCTCAGCGCACTGCTGTGGAGATGGGGAGAGAGTCCAACTACTTCCAGCAGAGGCACACACTGACCCAGGCCCTCCAGTGAAGTAGGCCGGGGGCTCTGTGGTTCCCTGCCCAGATTAGTCTCAGACCTTTTCTCCTGGCTCCACCCTGCCCACCCCTGCAGGGCCCGCCTGCCTGCTGCCTCCTTTTCCTCTTCCAAGCTTCCCAGGACGAAGTTTGGGGGTGGCTTCTCAAGATGTTAGGTCCAGCCAACCCCTACCCCCACCCCCACCCCCCACCTTGTATTTGAACACTGAGGGAGAGACCACCAGGATAGGAACCATCTGTATCCCACCCACTTGCAGCCCTGAGGGTCTCCCATGCTAAAGATGAGTCCTGGGGTCCTATATTTGAGGACCCCAGGATCAGTCTAACTGTGGATCAGCTCTCACCAAACTGAATTCACTACCAGAGCCCCTCCTAGCATAGCTTCTTGGTCAGGTTGGGGAGAGGGATAATTTTTAAGTTGGAGGTTTCAGTTCTAGATTTGAGGGAATCAGAAAACTAGTGCAGCCCAGCCCCAGTCCATTCCCTAGGTGCGCCCCCCAAGCTCCTTGGACACTGGCCAGGGTTATTTCCTGAAGCCCAGGCTTAGGGCTGAAGCAGCTCTGAGTCTGAGAATGAGGCCACTGGGATTGGCCCCGGGGACACGGGAGAACCACTCCCTGGACCCCTCCAAAGACACCAATCCCTGCGGGCCAACCCCTAGTTCACCCAACTCAATACGATCTCCCCTCTGCCGGTCGGTCCTAAAGCAAATGCGCAGATAAACCCCGTTTAGGCGAAAACCAAACACGAACTTCGGTGAGGCCCCCTCTTCGCCAGAAGGGTTGCGGCATTGAAACATTGGCTGTAAAAGGAGTTCACAGAGAACGGGTTCCCTCTCCGGGTCCGCAACACCCAAAGAAGGAACACAGCCACAGAGCCCGGTGCCTGGGACCTCCGAGGCCTCCAGACTCCTCGAAAACCCCGGAAACCCTCCGCTCTAGGCACGCACAGTGGAAAAGGTGACCTCGGCGCCCCAGCCAGCCGCCCTCCCCGGCAGCCTAGCAGCTAGGGGGCTCTGGACCGCGGGGGGTCCTCGGCGCCTCCGGAACCTGTCTGGGGCCCTGAACCCTCTTCCTCTCCGTGCTCTGTCCCCGGCCCACCACAGTTTAGGTTGCGGGGAAAAGGGTCATTTCTCTTGCACAACCGAAGCTCCTTGGCACCAAAGTTTAGATTCCAGACCCTCCTCCCCTCCAGCTCCAAAATTCGTCCCAAACGCTACTCTGGAACCCTTGCGTTCGCGAAACGGTCCCCGAGCGATTGTACAGATGGGGAAGCCCAGTGCAGAAGCGGCAGCCCTGGGCCAGGTCAGCGTCCCTCGGAGAGGGCTTCTTGGAGAGAGGGCTTCCCTCCAGCCCTCTGGACGGCCGCTTCTTTATTTGCGTGTCTCGTCTTCCGCTTGGCGCGGGTTTGTATCCTACGCCACAAACGAAGTTGGGGCCAGGATGGAGAGGAGGTTTCTGTAAAGGGGTCACCACACCTCTGGGTACAATCTGCCAAACGACCACTAGTTGACTGGGCAGCCTGAGCGCCCCCGTTCGCCCAGCAGCCCCGCGCCCAGGGCATTTCTCTCCCCAGGGACGCGCTGGGAGCTCCTCAAAGGGGCTCGTTCCTTCTTCGTTTTCTTTACGCCTGCATTTCCAGCTGCCCCAGACCCAGGATGGGCCAGCGTGGTGGCAGTGACAGTGGTGTTGCGTTGGTAGCCAGGCCTCGTCTGAGTGAGCAGTTTGGGGCAAAGGTCGCCGGACCCGGGAACTCACAGTCTGCTCCCCGAGCCCTAGTGTAAATGCGGATGGGAGACATTTGCACCGCCTTCCGAACAAAGCAGGGGCTTATCAAATCACCCTGTCTCTAGCTCACTGGTCACTCTCTCCTGGGGACCGCCAAGTCGCTCTTGTTTTGTGGTCTCTGTGACCCTTTTATGAAAATTTGTACGTCAAGTATGGACTTTCGTTTTAAGTCATTTCAAACGCCTTCAAGCTCAGCATCAAATTGCATTTTGAGTGACAGAGCCTGTAGACATCTTTGCTTCCTCAAATTCCCTTCTTGGAGCTCTGTACCAATTCGAGCCTTTGGAATTTGTTACTTTATTTTTGTTTTGTAGGGGTTTTGTTTGGTTGGTTGGGTTTTAGTTTTGTTTTTTTTTTTGTACCGGGGATCAAACTCAGGACCTTGCACTTTGGAGGCAGGCAGCGGCACCACTGAGCTATAACTCCCCAGCCCTGGTTTTTGTTTTTTTAATGTGTAATTTCCCGTAGAAGCTTGAGTTTTAAAAGACGGATTTGTAGGTCGGTAGCTGTTTTCCCCAGACTATTGGAGGACCAGGTTCTACATGGGTAGGTCTGGTCCCCTGTTCACACTCACCCTTGGCCCTTCTGGGTGGCTCCCCAAGCGACTTTGAATCAGAGTGGGGTCCTGTGAGCCAGCGGTTCTCTGAAGGAACGGGAAGTGGTGGCCTCTGGGTGTCCGGGCCTGTGCAGACCCTCAGAGAAAGGGCTCTGTGCCCTAGGTGCGCTGTGTGCAGACAGGAGAGGTCTGGTCTCTGCCAGATGCCCGTTGGGAGCTGTGGAAGTGTCCCATAGCTCTGAGCTCAGGGAGGTAGGGTGAAGACCACATCTGACTGCCAGGGAGGAATGCTCCAGGCCAGTCCTCCTGCTGTCTGCTGCTCTGAGCTGACCACAGCTGAGCGAGAGAATGGGGAGTGGAGCTGACACCACCTCCACAGGCCCTTGG